ACCATTGTCCCCCTGACCATATTTAACCATTGTCCCCATGACCAGCCCCCCAGAAGATTCTCTTTCTCTGTCAATCTTCTCCGTGACCTCACAGTAAAAGTGTTTTGTTGTTTTATTACTCTCTGCGCCGCTGGCCGGACACCTTGTAATGGCCACTGATGGATACATATTTGCAGTCCATAATGTTGTGTGGAGCTGATACACATACATTGCACATCTTAATTGCTTTGTTCATCCCCTTTCCTTCCCCCATTCCATCTGCTGATCCTGTTCCCCTTTGAGAAAGACATACTTCCCTACTTCCTATCATCCATCTTTTATTTGCTCTATTTATAATTTTGGTATATCATGTAAGAGAAACCTTGTGATAATGAAGCTTTTGTTATTTTTCCCTTCAGAGAAGTGAATACTGTCATGCATAGGCCTTGAGGATATTACATTAAGTGAAATATGCCAGTCACAGAAGACAAATACTACATGACTCAGCTTACGTGAGGCATCTCAAATAGTCAAACTCATAGAAGCACAAAGTAGAATGATGGTTGAAGGGGTTGGGGGAAAGGGACATGGAAAGTTATTGTTCAACAGGTGCAAAGTTCCAATTATGAAATATTCAAACATTCTAGACATAATTACAACACTGTGCTCATCATTAACAATATTGTGTGCTTAAAATTTGGTTAAGAATGGAGGTCTCACATCTTTTATTAAAATAACACAAGGAAAACAAAACAAAGAAAATCTTGAATTCCTAGGGTTAGCAAAAGGCTCTCAGAAGGGTGCTGTTCATCTCTTGGCTCTCATGCCTCAGTGACTGAGGGCTGCTTCTTGGCATGGGGACTGGTAAGTCCTCCTCCATCCCAGGCATCCCTGCCACTGAGACAAGCCGGCTTCCATGACATCAGGCAGAGATATTGGGTGCAGAGGAGAGAGGCACACACTCTCAGTGGAGAGTCATGGTAACATATGAGAAGCACTCACTGCAACTGAAGGTAAACACAGAATTGGGTAAGAATCTCCTCCAACAAATAGCTGAGGGTGATGTGGTGAGGGACACCGCACACTCTGGAGAGGTGGGCATATGCTGCTTCCTGTATTTCCCCCTGCAACTCTAGTGCTATAGGGATAGTTCTCATGACTGGACTCTCAGGGTTCATAATCTACTGAGGATCACTATATGTTAAAAAGTTGATGCGGCCATAGTGATACACACCCATAATCCCAAGGAGTTGATTCTAGCCAACTTGATATGACGAGGATGATGGGAAATGGCTTCCAATGATGGTAAGTTCTGTCATACAGCTGACTAACCCTTGCTGGCCTTGACAAAACAAAGCGCTATATTATGAGTTGGTATATGAGCACATGCACTTTTGATCCATAGAAATGGGTAGGTAATAAATGTGCTAAGCAGTGACATGTTATGCAGCGAAAGATAATATAGCCTCTGAATTAAGAAAACCCCTGGTAATCATTTGTGGCTTGGGGCAGTCCTTCCTCTTGATTCCATTTCTCCATGTGCAGTCCTAGCATGCCAGCCAGAGAACCATGGGTTGGATCTCTGTCCACACTCATTTTCATTTTGTTTTTTTGGGTTTTTTTCCCTCCACACTCTGGAAAAGTTTCTTGAGCTATCTTTCACATGACACTGTGATCTTAAATATCTGTATTGGTCCCTGCTACCTTCAGTGTGGATTTCAATGGTCTCAGTTTCAATTTTATATTCTTTAAAATTTCCCCTAATCTACTTATCTCCTTATTTATCTGAATTTTTTTCTTTCTGCTTTGTGAACGTGGGCTTCTTTCATATTCGTGAGACATTTTTCTGAACTTCAGAACATAATTCTCAAAGGTATTTGTTATAGTCTGCACCTGAAATGTCCCCCAAAGCCTCACGTATTTGGAAAGTGATTGGATCATGCGGGTGTTAGAAGGCAGAGCTTGGCTGGAGGTGGTAACCGGGGTCATGACCTGGAAGGGTGTGTTCTTACAGTTCATACCTTCTGTCTCTGCTCCCCGGCCACCATGATATGAGCAGCTTTTCTCCTCTGTGCCCCTGAAAACATGAAACAAAATAAACCCCGCCTCCTTTGGATGTTGGATACTGTGTGTGACAAAGACAACACTGTATTAGATCTGGTACTGAACTACCATCCACTTGGTTTCCCTTCTGAGTCAGGCAATAGCTGAGACAAATGAGTCACATGAGTTTTGACTGACCTCACACCGAAAACAGTTTGCCCTCACCATGCTCTCCATGCTTGGACTTTCTAGTTTGGGGTGCTCCTGTCATCGTAGACTACAGTCTACTCTCAAGCAAACAGGAGCCTCTAGAATCTAGAAGTGTGTGTGTATTGGGGGTCAATGTGCAGGACCACATTACAATGGCTATCAGAGCCAGCGGGTAGACTTCTCCTTGTCAGTCGTTGGACAGACAACTACTGGGACAGACACTACATAGTCCCTTTTGAAGGTCATGATGGGATCAAAATCCAGTGGTCTCAGCCTTCCCTTCTCCCATCACTCCATCAGGGGCCTCCTTGTTTTAGATGATTCTTTCTTTTTCTACCAGGATAAGATAGGAACTTGTTTACCTCCCTGTGCCTTGTAAATCAATTAATATGCAAGCTACAGTGAAAATGGATGGAAATGGCATCCAAGTAATTTGACTAAAGCTTTTAAAGTTATATTTGCATCTTTGAAGGCATTTCCTGAACCTCACTTGACTGTGAGTGGCCTGAAGTTTTTACTTTGTTTCCTCAGTACTGAGGATCCTAGCACAGGGTCTCTTGCATACGCGGAAAGCGTTCCATCACTGAGATACAACCCAGCCCTTCAGGTTTGAGCACAAAACTTTTAAGAAAGCTGGATGGTTTCCACTACATTGCCTTTGCTGCCATCTAGTGACAGTTTCAGATAACATAATATAAAATACAAAGGCCCAGAGTCTGTTAAGACACTCTGCCTACATGGCTAGCGGCATCATTGGCTGAATGTTTCCAGCGCAGCAAGGACTTTTAACGCCGGGTTTGCATCAGCGGTCATGCTAAATCCATCAAGAGCACTTACTAACGTGTGTCTGGTCCTGCATGGGGTGAGGCAAGCTGACCTCTGAAAACACTGAGGTCTAAGAATAGAGCCAGCAGAGCAATGATTACAGCATGAAAGCAAAGCCCTTCCTGAAGGATATGTCTGCACTGTGGCCAACGTAGAGACAAATGAGCCTCTTCTGTAAAAATGCCTTGCCATGTAGGCACATATACTTCATAGTTTTGGAGCTGTATCATGGGAATAGTTTATAGAAATATCATTTCTGGACCATGTATAAACCTGTTAAGACATCACCAAGTCCCTCCTAGGACATCTGCATCCCACCACCAGTGCAGGAGTGTGACAGGGTCCCACAGCCTCACAATAGTCAGTTTTACACCTTGGAAGACTTAGCTCTTCTCGTTTTAGTTTTGCTTGTTACTGTTTTAATCAATGTCCAGCCATGAGAAAGAATGGAGCAAGTATTTTAATAGAGGAAACTGAATACAGGTAATGAACTAAACCAGAGCTGGTGGCCCACATGGTCAGAGAGGAAAGAGAAGGAACCAAGAGCCATTCATCTGGTTAGCTCCACTGAACTGTTTACTTTGGAACACACAGTGACTTTGGTTTCCTAACCTAACCCTAATTTTTTTTTTAAATGACTGGATAAAAGGATGTGAAAGCCAAGTGATTTTTAATGACACATCTTAATTACTGGTAGGGTGGGAAATTTTTCAGCAGTTACTAAGTAACTTTGGAGGTTTTCTTTTTTTTTTCTTTTTATTTTTTGGTTTTTCTCCAGTACCGGGAACCGAATTCACGACCTTGCGCTTGCCAGGCAGGCACTTTTTGCCGCTGAGCTAAATCCCCAGCCCCTGGAGGTTTTCTTTAAATAAACACCAGAAAGTTCTTATGAAGACTAATAATACCAACAAGTATGTAGAAGGTGATAGGAAAACCAGAGGAGAGGGGGGAAGCAAGGGAATAAGAAAAAAAAAGCTGTAATATGTACATGTAACCACTCCCCAAGATGACTGTAAACTGTGAATTGCAAACATGTACTAATAATAAAAAAAAATATTGTGGGTATAGAAAACCAGATAGCGAACTTTTTTTTCCTTTTAAAAGTCTTCCAAAACAGTAAAGGACTCAGTGTTTGGCAAACTCCTGAGTTACATTTAAATTTCTGCAGAACACAGGAAGGAACAGCATATATTTCCACGAAACGAGACTGTATTCAGAGGCAGTTCCTTAGAGAGCTACATAAAGAGCATTAAACTACCAAATTAGTGCATTAATTTAAACTGCTGGGATTTCTCTATCTCATGAAATGCCCATTCAAGTAGCATAAGGTTGTAGTGCCACATAGTGGCTACCACAGAAGGCTACAGCAAATGTTACTCATCTATCTGTTCCGTTTTAAGGCTCCAGATAAAATATGCAAAGGTAAATTAGGACTAAATTAAAGTCTGGGGTACTTGGTTTATGATACAGAATATGTTAAATCTATAAAAGATAAACATGTAAACTATGAAACCTAGCTACACAGCAGTCTGATGCAGGATGCTGTGGTTATTACCAAAATAGGCAATACATAAAACTTTAAAGAGTTGTCTTGGTTCGGCCAGAAATTATTCCAGACATAAAGTAAACAAGACAATAATCCCACTGAAAGGCCATAGACATGCTTCTGCTGTAAAGTGACTTGGTGGTGGTGAACAGGGATATCAAAGAGCAAGTCTTTGTAAAAGAGAACCACAACTGCCTCGTACTTGCAAAGTATTTGGGAATTGTTTTACAAAGCCATCTTTTACAGCCCTGCACTCAAGCACAAGGTCAAGAGGCAGGCAAATTTCAAGTCTGAGGAGCTCAAAACAACCAAAACAAGTGATTCTTCTAAAACCTCTGCAGGTCTGTTATCTAAATCACTAACACAATTTTCCAAAAGAAAAATAAAAAGAAGGTAGTACTATGCAAAATATTTTATTTTTATGAACTGTAACTAATACAGCAGGAAATGATTACAAAATATACCAAAAAATCAGAATGTTGGCATTCAATAGAAATGAAAACCTGAGCTGAAGGTTGATCAGAAATGCAAGACACTTGGCACCATCTTGAAGGATGTTAAGAAACATGTTTTCTAGCCTTCTTAAACATTTCTTGTAATACAGAAAAGGTAACTTTTAAAGAAGCTACAATGCACTGACATATTAAGTAACTTTTGCTGTTGACAAACATCTGTCTGAGATAAACAGATTTATCTAAGGCTCAGTCCTGAAGACAGGAAGGTCTCTGAATTGTATATTATTTTAACAAGCAAGCTGAGATTTTGTTGGTTAGATGTGGTTTGTTTATTCATGTAGATCTAAAAGGCTGGCTCAGTTAAGAACACAAGAAAATGCCCAAAGAGGCCATGGGAATGAACACAAGTCAATTTCACCTTCTGGAAAGTAAGTGACAGAGGAATAACATCATGACAAATGACAGTATTGTATGAACAGGAGACTTGTGGACTCTTTACGAACTCTGATGAAGGTCATGGTGAAAAGCAGGGCCATTTTTACTCCTTTAGTAACTGGCAAAAAACGAACAAAAAGGGAGGGTACAGAAGAAAGCTAAAACAGATGGGTTTTGTTGATTAATAAGCTGTGAACTTGAATACATTTTATTAATTCAATCTTGAATCAATCATGAACCAACAGTTAATATACTAAACTTTACAAACTTAAGTGCTCAAAATTTGTTGTAGAACTTCAAAACTAATGAAATTATTTCCTTTTCCCTTTAATCATTCCTTCCACATAAAGTCCTAAAACTGAGTAATCATGGGCATACCTACATTTTCGCTAATGTGCTGTGAAAACATGCTTTTTGTCAAAATGATGCAGGAAAGAATTTCAAATGAGGTCAAGGATCTTATGTTCTCAAAACATGTTTTCAATTCCTTGTGATCCACGTCATACTTAACAAAAGGGAGCAGCTGAACTCCCACAGTTTCAGCCCTCATTAAACCCTCAATGTCTTCACCCCAGGGAAGGCTCTTCTATCTAAGTGCTCTACTATTAAGTGGCCCTAGTTCTAAAAACATATTCTCAGTTCTCCGTGCTCCATATCACATAAAATTAAATGAGGGCAGTTGGACCCATATAGCATCAGCCCAATAATGACATTAAACTCCCAACATCTCCATGCTAGGGAGAGATCCTAGATTAATATCGAAGTGCTCTATTAATAAGGGGCCCCAGTTCTAAAAGCACATTTTCAGTTCTTCTTGCTCTGTCACATAAAAAAGAAATGAGGGCAACTGGACCCATGTAGCATCAGCCCAGTGTCACTAAACCCCCAATGTCTCCATGCTAGGGAAGGATTCAGTATCTAAATCCTCTACTATTAAGCATTCCCAGTTCGAAGAGAGAGCTTTTATCTTTACTTTTTATTTTTTTTAAAAAGGCTCGAAGCAGTGCCCTTTCCTTGGCGGAGACCAGCCGCTGACTTCCTTCCTGCCCCCGCTTTCCAGGAGGTTACTGGATGAGGCTTGGCCCTTATGGTTTTACCCCGGCCTTTCCGAGGCTTCTCTTCCTTGTGCACCTTCACATGCTGCCTCAGATGAGAGCTCTGGCTAAAGCACTTGCCGCACTCACTGCACTGGTAGGGCTTCTCCCCAGTGTGGGTTCTCTCATGCTGAATAAGGTGGGAGCTCTGGCTGAAACACCGGCCACACTCATCACACTGGTAGGGTTTTTCTCCAGTATGGATCCTCTGGTGCTGAATGAGATTTGAACTCTGTTTAAACCTTTCTCCACACTCATCACATTTATAGGGCTTTTCCCCGGTATGGATGCGGCGATGCTGAATGAGATTAGAGCTCTGGAAGAAACTTTTCCCACAATCAGCACATTTATGGGATTTCTTTCCAGTATGGATCTTCTGGTGCTGAAAAAGAGTTGAACTCTGACTGAAACTCTTTTCACATTCAGTGCATTTGTAGGGTTTCTCATCCAAGCTTCTTCTCAGCCTGCTCAAACCAGAGTCGAAGCGAATGGTCATTCCCCATTTCTGTCGCTGACGGACTGTCTTACGCTTGCTCTTGTTCTCAAAAGCTTTTCCTTGGTTTGAGCCCCGAGAAATACTCCCTTTAGGTTTTGCTCGCCTCATGGTGAAAAGCCGAATGTATTCGCCAGAGTGTCTACTGTCTTCTGAGCTAAAGTCTCATGTCCTGAAGCTAGAGAGCTCAGTATTTTCTGTATAGAAGAAAAAAATCATGAATTATAGATGACCCATTATTCATTTTAATACCTGTTCAACTCATCAAAATTAGATAGATACTCAAATTAAACATGTTTAACACAAATGAAAATAAAGTTAATTCTTGGCTAAAATATATGCAAAATAATTCTAGTAATTCTACAGGTTAAATTTAATTGTATCTCACATTTTGATTGAATTTACCATTGAAGTTTTTGTCTATGGGGAAAGACAAAAGTCATGAGGTAAAAAAAAATTTTTAAAGCATTATCACTGGTATAGTGGTACACACCTATAATCCCAGCATTTGGGAAGCTGAGGCAGGAGGATTGCCATGAGTTCACAGCCAGCGTAGGCTACACAGTCAGTTCAAGGCCAGCATGAACTACATCCTGAAACCTTGTCTCAAAAAACAAAAAAAAAGCATTATCAATTGAATATATTATTTTGAAGGACTAAGAGGAAGCAAGAAAAAAAAGGGAAGATATAATTTCACAGTGTTTGTGTAATAGAATATTTTTATGTTTCCAATTTATTCCCACATTAAATTTCTCATTAAATAATGACTATGGAATTGGCTTATCCAAATTTGAAAGACATAAAAAATCATATGCTACATGATCTATTCCTATTTATCCTTACTTGTCTGGCCACAAATAAGTATGTATAGACTTCCACAGTTATATATACTTAGTTCTACATAGCATAAGGTGTTCTCAAAGTATGGCTGATTGTAGTAATGCAGGCCCATTATCCCAGCACTACAGGCAGCTGAGGTAAAGAGCATCATAAATTTAAGCCTAGCTTGGGTAATTTATCAAGAATGTATCAAAATAGAAAAATAAAAAGGGCTGAAGACGTGGCCCAGCGTAAAGGTCCTGGGTTTAATCCCCAGCAATGGGGGAGCAGGGAAACATACTTGTAAATTTTAAGTTACTGTGAATCTAGTCGAAAGTACTGGATGGGAAAAACCTCGGCGAAGTGCTGCATTATTATTACTTTGGATTCTAATGACCTAAGAAAGAAGAGAGAAAATGCCGACTGATCTTTTTTCAGTTAGGGATATGAAACTGAGTGGGAAGAGTGTGATAAGTAAAACATAGAAAAAAGGAGAAAGGTTGAAAGTAATTTTCGTGTAAAAATAGGATGGAATTTTTAAAAATACCCAAGTCTTAAAAACTTACAAATAAATTCGTTTTATTTACTCTTATGGTTGTCTCGAGGCTATTTCAAATTACCCAAACAAACATACAAACAAAAAACCCAAGAACTCCAAATAAGTGGCAGGGTGGGAGAGGGCAGGACTGCCAAATAAAATTAGTGAAACTATTTTCTGGATCTTGCATCAGGTTGTAGACTTTAAAAATAGGAATAATTGCCGTGGGTTTCTCTCCAAATAAGCACACAAAACAAGTAGATGAAAATATACATAATATAATTTTGCCTTTCATTTTGTATAATGGAGACTCCAGGCTTCACAGCGCATAGGACTTTTTCTGAATATTTAACCATTATATTCACTGTAATTATGGTACTGGAAAGAGCAAACTACATATAATATAAAAGTGCAAAGAGCATTTCCCATCCATTAACTCCATGAAATATTTACAGACTACCTGCTACACAGAGGACACTGTGTTATGTACACAGTGTCCAAGAATTACCTATCACGGTAATTACGTACTTTTAAAGCACTTTTTTTAAAAACGCTAAAGCGGTCAGATGCGGCGGGAGACTGCACGCCCAGGCCCGCCCCGGATGCGCGGTGCAGCGCCGTCTCCCAGCCCTGCGCCGCTCGCGCTGCCTCGCCCGCGCCCCACTGTGTGGCCCGCAGGGCAGGCGGTGCCCACCCCGCGGGAGGGCCGGGGGAGGGACGCCGCGGGCCGCTGCACAATGGACCCGGTGTGGCCCGCGCGCAGAATGAGCCCGAGACCCCTCCGGCCCATTTCCTCCGCCTCGGGCCCCAATTCGCCAGAGCCACGCAGGCCTCGCCCCGCCGCCCGCGGCCGGACCCTACCGCTCGGCCTTCCCCCTCCTCCAGAGCCGCGGCCCCAGAGCCCGCGGGAAGGCGCGCCCACTCACCTCTCCCGCCACCGCCCTTGCCGGGCCTGCGCCTCGCCGGAAGTGTGGGCCTTTTGCCGCCACCGCTGCGGCCGCTCTAGGAACGGGGCGGAGCGACCCTCAATAGCCCTAGCTCGCACACTGCAGTGGCCGCCTCACCGGCGGAAGTCCAGGCCGATTGCCTGAGTGACCCTCTAGGGTCTCGGGCTGCCTCGCCGTTCCCGCAGCCCACGCCGCTCTTCTCCCGCGGCCGGACGAGCGGCCGCTCTAGGAACGGGGAGGAGTGCCCTCTATGGTCCCAGCCCCTGGCGCTTCGCTTGTTGCCTTCGCGCCAGCTGCAGTGCCAGCCGCCAGCCTTCGTCTGTCCCTCACTCGAGAGGACCCACCTGGCCTCCGGACGGATTCCAGGTTGCAGATATTAGAAAACCTCAGACCTCCGCATCCAGTCGATTGCCCAGGAGCCCGTCCGCTTGTACAGTGGACACCACAGACACGTGTACCCCAAATAAACTCCGATACCTGCAGACCTGACCTGGGGCGTCCAACCTGTACAATGGACGGCTCACCCACCCCACCCACAAATTCTGTGGGGTCTCCCGTCAGATACAATTGGGATCCAGCCCGACACAATGTCCACTACTCAAGGAGCTAACTCCCTCATGCTTGGATTACTGCTTTGTGTTGTACACTCACCCCGATAATCCTAAAACCCGTCAGATCGTGGCATCCATCAGTTCAGAACCCGTCAGGCTTTCCTGCCTTAGAACAAAGGCCCGTGGCTCACACTGCGCTCTCTGATACGCCCAGCCTGTTGTCACACCGCGTGCTTTGTGTTTGTCCCACTAATGGTTTGTAAGGTGCTTCATTCCTTGCACAGGGCTTTTCCTTGCGTTCTGGCCATCGGTCTTTACCGTAATCTCAGGGAGCAGGGAGCATCACATCTCACCCTAACCCTAACCCTCAGGAGTCCACGCTAGGGATGGGCCTCCAGCTCAGTAGCTGGCAAAGCAGGAAACTGGACCACGAAGTTCAGCTCAGTGATTTTGTCAGTATGGTGTGGATGACTGTGAAGTTTAAATGGGAGGTACTTAGCACAAAGCACAACACGTAAGAAATGAAAGCCATTTAGGGTTTTTATTATTAAATTATTAAAGATGTTGGTGCTGGTGGTTGGAGGTGCTGGGGGTATGGGCGGTAGAGAGAGACGCTAGGGACCATTTCGCCAATTTTCAAGACCAAAACTGATCTGCTGGGACTGTTTCCTCTCTGTGTTCTTGAAAATAATAAACATTTTTCTAAAAACACATCATAGTAAGACAGCCATGAATTAAAACTAACCCTTTCTATATTCCACATTGCCCCTTTTTCTCATGCCTGAAGACAACTGGGCCAGTCCCAGAGATGTACAGATTGGAGGCCAGGTGAAGATTTTAAAAAGGAGAGACATAAAAATCAGGAGGAAGTAAAAGGGAGTGAGTGGTAGGCAGGGGTGGGGGTGAGGATGGAGAGAGGCAAGGGCCAGAAGAGACTTGGGAGTCAGCGGGAAAAGAAAACGTCAGAGAATAAACAGGCAGGGTTTATGCCCTCAAGTTATTTATTAACTACCACAATAGTTAACCTTGTCAGAAAGCTTACTGAGCTCCTTCCCCCACTTCCGTCTGAAGCTCTTCCAGGGCCTCATCAAGCACTCTCAGGTGTGGCTGCCCTGCCCCTGCCACATTCTCTGGCCCCACATTCCTGTCTCTTGCAGGTGACCCTCAGTTCCCCCTAGGGACCTGCAGGCCCATACCACCCAGGTAGTCTTTCCATGTGACTGGCGTGTGTGGATGTGAGGTGCCTCAAGCCTAGGGGAGCTTTGGTCCCTGTCTCTGCCAGCTCTGTGCTCTTTCCCTTTGCCACCAGGCTAGGGTGGGACAGGGAGGGGCGGCTCCTGCAGCTGCAGCCCAGGAAAAAGACACAGTGGACAGAGCCACCTAAACCCATCTGTGCCAACCACAGTCCCCTAAAACAAGCAAAAGAGAAAAACGCTTTCGTAGAAAAGCTGATATGCCTCCCAGTTACCTTGAGAGATAGGAAGCTTTATCTCCATTTTACTGCTGAGGAAACTGAGGCAGGTAACCTGGCTCCCACTTACATGACTACAGCTGTCGGGATTGGGACCATTAGTCTGCCCACCAGGTAACCTGAGTGCATATCCCAAACCCTACAGGACAACAGAGTTGTTAAGAGAATCAGTTTAGCATGTTGCCTTGGTCACTGGTGCCTGGACGGTTTCTTGACTGACCTTGGGCATGTTGAGTCTTTGAGAGAGGCCTGCTACATCCTGGCTAGTTCAGGCCCACCTTTGTCTAGCTCGGTGTATAAACAGACTCTTTCCTTCTGCTATAGGGTACAGGGAGCCTCTTATCTTGCTGTCACCCAAGCCACACTTTTGTCCACGGGTCCCTAATAAACTGCTGTCCTAGGGCTGTCTGTCTTTCTGTCTGGTCTCACAACACCTTTTCCCTCTGGAAGCTGGTTCTCACCCACCAGGACCTGGTTTTTCTGAAACACCATAGAAAGTTACACATTTTTATAAATAGAGGCAGGCTTGGAAGCCAGAGAGCTGGGAATTCCAGGTTATTTTAGAGCAAATTAAACAATCAGGGAGCAGTCACATCTGAAATTTAGAAAAGGAAAGAGAATGGAAAGAATGGAGGCACACAGTTAGGGGTCCTAATTGCTTCTTTGGGGATTAGGTAAGATAAGCTGAGAGGGCAAGGGTCCCTCCATGGCCAAGGCTTCTCTGGGAAGCTGGGACCACAGTGCCCCTAGTGCAGGCTATTGGACGGGTTCATGCTAGGAAAGAGCACCCACTGGGCTGAGCGCCCAGGAAGCTCCTGGCAAGACCACTTCCTTCTCCCATGGTCCCATTCCTGCACCATCCCTGTGCATGTGCTTCTGCACATACTTATGTACTTGCTGTCTCGCAAGCACCATCTCAGAGCGGAGGGCTGCTGCCCTGGGTCTGTGTTGGCAGTGCTGATCAGCAGCCCAGGAATCAACAAGGTCAGCCCCATGGCCTAATACGGTGGCTAGCATGGTCCCTCTCCCCGAAGTGGACCCCTCAGCTCAGGGGCCTGAAGCAAGGTTCTATCCTCTATGCCTAAGACTTTGCTTTGCTTCTTCTGTGCTCTCCATGAAAGAAATCCTGGGAATTCCCACTCCTACAGAAAACATCCCTGTGACTGCCCCAGGAGGACAGCCCATGCCTGCTGCATGTTGTGGCCTCTGGGCACGTCGATAGCTGGCTCCCTTCCAATCATAGCTCATGGCTAAATATAGCTTGTGCAGCTGGCTGTTTTTGTACTTGGAGCTGCTTGGCTCTGACCTGGCTTCCTGAATGGTCACTGCGAAGGGCCCGAGGACAGGGGGCTGCTGCTCACCTCTGCACCCGACCAGGATGCCCCTCTGCAGCTGTGGGGACCTTGAGCCCCCATGCCCAGCCATGTCTGGCATCTCCAATTTCTCCAGCAGTCACCTGGTCAGGCTGGGTCAGCCTTGGCCTTGTTCCTGGGAGCTCAGGGGCCAGATGTTCCCTGGTACACGGCTTTGTTTTGATGGTGAGAGGTCTTTAGCCCATTTTCTGGTAAACACTCCAAGCAGGCAGCACAGGGTTCTTGCTGCAGAAAAACAAGCTGTTTTTGATTCCTCTGGTCATTTGTTCTGAACAAACAACCCTGTTTTTCCCCAAGTTCAGTCCTTTTGCAATCAAGTTCATCTTATCCAGTGATGTTTATCATCCTGGCGGGTCCCCGAGGCTGGATGGGAGGATGGTGCAACCTAGAAGACAGCACTTTCTGACAGGGAGCTTCGCTGTGCTGTACCTTGGATACCTGGACTGTGTGAGGCATGAGGAACATGTGGAGCCACGCCGTGAACTGAACTAGACAAAGCAGTGCCGCAACCAGCCGAAACCACAGCTCTCTGTCTGACAGCCTTATGTGGGCCAGCCTGGGCTGGCAGATTTCCTGAGGGCTTCTGATCAGATGCCTTGCAAACCCCTCCAAGCATTGCAGAAGAAGCATTTTTCCCTTGTCTGTGTAACTTGCTGAGACTTTTCCTAGCTGTGATATTCAGAAATTAGTTTTGAAAATGACACTCATCTAAAAGGTTTTAAATCATACTTTAACAATTGCAAAAAAAATACAACAGACCGGGCTGGTGTGGACAGGAGGAATCCTGCTCTGATGGTTTCTGGAGCCCAGGGCGGTGCCATGCAGCCTTGGCCTCCTTCCACAGCCCCCTGGCTGTGGCTCTCCCTGCTGTGTGGCCTGCTGCTCCTGAGGACAGCTCTGAGCACAGGGCTGACAGGAGCTCCATCTCTGTCCCTTGGGGTCAAGCACAAGGCTGCTACTCCGTTACCACTCAACAGGGGACAGGAGTGGTCCCAGGCCTGAGACACAGGCTCAGAGTCAGCTTACTCGGAGCTCCCACCTGGTATGATCCCACCCTCTCCTGTGCCCCTACCTGGAAGGTCCTGAGCCCTTGGAGTGCCCAGAGCCTGCAGTTCAGGGTAGCCCTGCTGCTCAGCCACCTGAAGGCCCCACCAGTACGTCCTCTTCTGTGTCTCAGGCCACAGTGGTCTCAACTGAGCACAGAAGCAAGGAGTCTATCAGTGTCAACTGCGGCTGCACATGCCGTGGGATATGAGCTTCTGAGAGCTGGGGCCATAGTGGATACACGGGGAGGCAAAGACAAGGAAAGCATGGTCCTCATGTCCACAGTTCAGAGCAGCAACCTACAAAGCTAGTCTGCCAGAGCAGAGGGGCAAGCGCACTGGCCTCCTTGGCAATCACCTCTGATCACAGAGCTGATCGGGGAGCCCTGGTGCCCTCAACATAGCCCAGGGGCTCCACACAATGAGGTGCTCCCCAGCTCTGCCGTGTCCCAAGTCCATGTGGGGCTACTGCAGCACTGACATGGAATCTCTTTCCTCTCCACAGGCCTTCATAGTTCCTCCCTGGGAATCTGTCACCCACAGAGACCAGCAAAGGAAAAGCTGGGGCTTCAATTTGCCGTTTTAGACAAACACCCGCGCAGCTGACATAAACTGCTGTAGGGGTTTGCAAAGCCTTCCTCACTCATTCCAAAAATTCTCCACCAGTCAATAAACACATTGTTCTGTGTCTGCCTCCAGGAATTCAAAACTCTCCCTCCCCAAATGGGCCTTTCCCTCATTACCGCACTCTTTTGGGAAGTATTGGGTCACTCCGCCCACTGGGGCAGAAGTGCACAGGCATCCTTGGGACTGCTCGATGGGCTGAGCCCTGCCTTCCAGAGCTGAGCTGCCACCACCGCCATATCCTGCCGGAGCCGTGGGCCCTCCTCCTCATGGGATCGAGCTGACACCGCTCTCAGTGAACTCCAGTCATGACTGCCTTTGAGTCTCACTGAGCATGAAGCATGTAGACTGACTCTGCAGAGAGATGGGACCTGTGGTCTTGCTGGTGACCTGACCTCTGTGCTGGGGTGCAGGGCTGTTGCCTGGGGTCACCATGGGGAAGAGAGGACTGGAACATGGCTTTCCGCAGCAGAGCCGAGTGGCAGAGGGATGGACAAGGCTCTCATGGCTCCTGGGTGATGAGGGTAGGGCTGGTGGACTCTATTAGGTGCTGCCCTCCTGAGCTGGGGGTGTGGCATGCATGGGACTGGCCACAATGCTCAGCCCGAGGGTGAGGCTAGTGCCACAGCTTCAGGGGCACTCACTGCCCAGGCAGCCTCCTGTGCAGAGCCTGGCTGAAAGGCCCCTGGCTCTCAGGGCCTGAATCTATCCCTTGTGGCTCCCAGAGGGAGCAGGGCTCTCTGTACTTCGGCTTTGACACATCAGAAGCATGGGCACTGGATTCCTCAGGCAGCGGTGTGATCAGTGTGAATGGTCAGCCCAGCCACTGGGGTCCATGGCACTTGTGGCTGGGGACAGCAGAACAGGCGCACCAGTAGCTACTCGGCCTCCACCAGCTGTGCCAGGCGCTCTAGCATTGTGAGACGCAAGGCTTGGAACCTACAGGGAGATGGAAATAGGAACTCGTTGATGCTGGGGGAGAGCAGAGGGATGGGCACACAGGTGCCTGGCCCAGGGACTGGTGTTCCTATCACTGTGTCTCCTCTAGCAACGAGGGCAGAGCCCACCAGCTTCCATGAAAAACTGTTACCAGGGCTACAGACTGTACAAGCAGCAGTCAGAATGTGGTAGATTCTATTCCTTAGACGCTCCAGTAGGGATGGGAGGCGCCAGGGTGCACAGGGCGGTGGTAGGGATTAGGAAGGCTGTGTTCCAGCCTGAGCTCTGCAAATAACCTATGCTGCACCCTTCTTAGTCTGGCCTCAGTGTCCTCTGCACTCTGAAGTCTGACTAGGGGACTTCCGGGTCCTTTCTAGCTGTAAAGCCTTAGTGACCTGACTGGTGGTGGAGTGGGTAGTTTCCTCTGATGGGATTTCCACTGGCTCCCAGTGTAGGTGACTGCACAGATGGGAGTGTGGCTCTCCAAGGTCACCCAGCCCAAAGCTGGACTATAAGCTAGACCCTCACAGGCTCTCCAGCGAGCTGCACTCCTCTCCTTCCCGCAGGGCAGATACTCTCTGGGTGTTTCTTCGTGCTCTGCCTTGCTGAGGGGCAAACCTGCTGGGACCTGCAGACTGCTAACCTCACGCAGCTGGCCCTGCTATCCCCCCTCCACTGAACTGCCTTTCTGCAGCAGCAGCTGGGTCACCAGCAGAACTGGAAATCTTCACCCAGTGGACACTGTACTCCTGTCTCTCTCTGCCTTCCTGGGTGGCCACCTGGGGTCTGGGAGGAGGCCAAGGCTGGGTGGGCAGACTGGGGTGCATCCCCTTCATTCAGGCATCTGTCACCCTAACATGCCAGTCGGCACAGAGCAGGAGCCAAGGCGGTGCTAGGAGTCTCCTCAGACCTTGGGGTGCCCACCCAGCGGAGGGGTGCTCTGTGTGCCCAGCCCAGGGTTAGGATCCATGGCTGGCTGAAAACTGCCGCTTACTTCATGGTCAGTTTGATAATTTCTCTCTCCTCCTCTTCTTTTAATTTTTCAACAAAACTGTCCAGCACAGGCATTTCAAACTTAATATATTGAGCGACCTAGAAAATCCAAGAACACTTTGATGTGCTTTATGCAAGAAATCCAAGCATGTTTTTCTTTCCTCTTGGCTTCCATAGTGGGCCAGGCCACCAAGGTCCCATGTCCCCAGAGTTGCAGCCACCCCCTTCCCATGCCCCACTGCTCCCTTTGTGGACAGAGAATAGAATCTCCTTATCTCACAGGCAAGGCTTATCCCCAGAGGAAGCCTGGAGCGGATTATAAGAAAGGCACCGGGTCCCTGCTGGTGGGGGTGGTGGGAATGGTTTCTGACAATGGAGGAAATCTGACCAGCCTGTGGGGAGGCCCAGAGACAGAAAGCCCTACCTTCCCCTGGGCCCCAATTCTACAGGCTTCTGAGCCAATTTAGGCACCTCCTTCCCTTACCTGTATTAGGCTCCAGCTAAGGAACCCTGTGAAAGTCTCTATCCAAATCACAACCAAACGCCTGCCAGTGGAGGAAAAGGTATCACTAGAGATGAAAAGGAGCAGGCCGTGGCTTCCTAGGACCCAGGCCCATCTTGGCCTAGGCCAGCCAGGAAGAGGGCACTGAAGCCTCAGGATAGCTCCAGTGGACATCGCCTCAAGGTCACCTCCTCCCTCCCCCCAGCCTCCCAGTCTCAACCCCACTCACGTCATAGGGAACTTCCTCGCCCAGGTCTGCCTCCATCAGGAAGATCTTGACAATCTTCTCGCAGGGCCCATGCAGGATCCTGGAAATCAGCGGGTACTCACAGTCCTTTAGCTTTGTCCGCTCTGAAAGAGAAGTAATTCACATAGCTCTCAGGTCATCAGGGTGGTCTCTCCCCCAGGACAGGAGCATGGCAGAGGATGGGCGGTCAGAGGGTTCACTGAATCTGCTGCTCTGAGAGATGGATGATCTGCCAAAGGACAGCAAAACAGGCCACCCCATGTAAGGCACTGTGATACAGAGTTACTGTGGTGACGGAATAGGACCGATGCAGGGAAAGCTCACTGCCCTCCTCCCACCTGCCTCAAGGCAGGGCAGAAGTTTGTCAGGGTGGCCCCTTTCTCCACCAGGAAAGACAGAAGTCAGTCTCCAGAGACAACTCAGGACCCTCACCTACCTGAAGGAAGCACCACAAGAATCTCCACAAAGAAACAGGCTAAAAATGAGCTCTGTTCCTGAAGCAGAATCCCCTGAGAAAGGCATCTCTGAGACCCTCAGCCCCTTCCTGCCTCTCCAATCCCTGATTCCCCTCTCTGAAACTAAAGCCCCACTGTCTCTCTAGGAAGCACACTCTGATCTGAATAAACTCTGTCTGATTCTCATCTTGGCAAATTCCTTTGCTTCCTGTGTCCCGGGCTCTGCACTGGCACCAAGAGGCTGTGTGAGCCACGTTCTCCCACCCCTTGGGTCACTGTCCAGGGATCACCTATGGCCGATGCAGCTGTGAACAACCTTGTCTGCTTTCCTCTTGTTAATCTGACTTGGGTTCATCTAATTTACAGGGCCACGGGTAGAAGAAGGCTTTGTTTCTTTGTCAAGCATCACTCAGCTGAGGTCCCCTGGGACACAGAGAGCAGAGGGGTAGGAGATGAGGGGCAGGAGAGGTGGGCTGGGTGCCAGTTTGGCCACCAGCCCTGCAGGGGACCTGCAGGTTCTGGACTGCACCCCAGTCTCATAGCCCCGCACATGTCCCACCCTGCTGGCCGAGTCCCCATGAAAGGGACAGCCACCAGTGCACGGGATGGGGTGAAAGGACTGTGGGATTCTGACAACAATGGGGGCAGTGGAGGAGCAGCATTGTCCAAGGGAGAGGAGAGGGCTGCCAGGGAGCTAGGCGGTGGCTGTAGGGACACAGGTTTTCTGCTTTCCTGCTGCACAAACAGAAGATAGCACTTACCCCCAGATTCATGGACCACATAGAGTGCAAACTCCCCAGGGCCATCTTCTACCTGCACAGGAGGCCACAGAAGTCAGACTTCAGATTTGCAGGCTGAGAGGGAACAGACAACCACCAGCACAAATCTATGTGCCCAGGACCCAGCCGGCTTTGCCTGAATCCCAGGGCCTCCCTTGTAGCTGAGGAAACCCTGCCAGCCTTCTGCCCTCACCCTCCCAGCCCCCCACCCAGCAAGGTGCCCACAGCCCTGGGAGGCACCCACCCTTTGGCCCCACTCACCCTGAACTTGTTGAGCAGCAGGGTGAGTACCTGCAGTGTGGTCATGGTGCTGTTGACCCTCACGTTGGTCACGGACCCATAGGCGGGGGTGAACACCGAGGTCTGTGTGGGAGGAGGACGGCTCAGGGCAGACCCAGTGGGGCTGTGAGCTAACAGTATGGTGCCCTACTCTGGGCACAGTGTGCCCCCCTGTGCCAAGTTTGTTCCAGACTCAGGGTGCTCAAGGAAGCTGCAGCAGGGCATCTTACAGAGGACCCTAGGAGATACCCACTCCCCACCGCACTAGGGCCAGCTCTCTCTGCAACCCAGGAACCAGACCCGGGAGGTGATTCATGGAGGGGGGTCTGGACTCGCCCTCACTCTACCCATCAAGTCACCTCATATCTGCTGATCCCAAGGCCCGAGGTCCGCATCTGTCCTCTCCTCTGTGTTCTTCCAGTGGTGCCAACAGAGCCCTGGGTCCCCCTGCAGCAGTCCCCAAGCATATCCTCTTCCCCTTAGCCCTTTTCTTCCACCTTTCACATTGCTGCCAAAGGTGCCACCTTCCAAAAAACCTGGTTCCCAAAGTGTGGCATGGGCCAAGCCTCATCACCCTGCTGTACTGTGTCCTCCACAACCCCCTGGTGCAGACTCCAGAACTGAGTCAGCACTGGGAAAAGAATGCCGGGCCATGTCGCCCACACAGTGTGATTTGCCAGCACACTTCTGAAAACCATTGCTCTAGCTGAAGACATCTGTAGGCTTCCATGGCCACATAGTGCCATCACAGCTCCCCAGTCACACACACAACACCAGCGTCCCACCAAGCACCCTGGTCTTCCTCACAGTTTTGGAGGAGGCTCGTTATATTCGTGTGTGTGTGTGTGTGTGTGTGTGTGTGTGTGTGTGTATGAAGGAGATAGAACTCAGAGCATTGCACATGCTAGAGAATGCTCTACTACTGAGCTACTTCCCCAGCTCTTGGCCTGGAACTTGCAATCTTTCTGCCTTAGCCTCCTGAGTAGCTGTGATCAAGGTGTATGCTACCATACTCGACATTTACTCTTGCAGGTATTTTGCTTTTGCCCGTGAGACACTATACAAGTAGTTGGTCCACAACTAGGAGAGTTCAGTGCACAATTTCTTAGCTTTATGATGATGGGAAAACAATACACATCAGTAGAAACTGTACTGTGATTTGTGTATTTGGACCTTTTCCCAGGCTAGTGATGTGCTGCAGGATTGTGTCTCCCAGTGCAGACAGTGGCAGCAAGCCACAGGCCTATCCATCAGCCACAGGATCACACTGGGGACAACCAGCACCAGTCACTGCATCACTTAGTGAGGTTGTTTGGTAGGGTGGGCAGACGAGATGCATCTGTGTCTCAGGGTATTTTAAACCTGTGCTCACTGTATGGGACCTAACCTCATCTGAAGTCGGGGGCATCTGTACATGAAGTCACGCAGGACACGGTCCATGTTGAACAGTCCTCAGCAACCACCTGCCAAACATTGCACCTGCCAACACTTTCTGTGCAGTCTTCGATTTAACCCTCATGGCAGCCTCTGACAAACCTAGAACGAGTCCCTTTTTCTCAGAAAGAAAACACAGGGTGGGTAAACGAGAGCTGGTCAGTCACCCACCTGAAAGGACAACGCTATGACCAAAGATCCTGGGATGCCTGACACCCCAGGGAGATGGGAGAAGCCAGTGTACTAGAGCCGAACCCCACAATTCCATGTGTCATGGGGTAAAGTCCTCTTTTTCCTAAGAATGCAGAATTCAGAAGAGGCTACACCCAGGCACATGGTCTTTGAAGGTGTTTAAAGACTTTCTTAAAATAGCACATTAGTATTTACTCCAACACTAACAACTGGTGCTTAAGCTTTTGCAGACTAAACCCCTTTGGAAACAGGACGTAAAGGACACGCTGTGGCCATTCTGTAGCACCTCGTGCAAAGCTTGCCAGGGCCCAGGGTTAGGAGAAGGGAAGTGATGGGATGGATTGAAGTAGGGTCTCTCGGCTTGCTGAGCTGAAAGCTTTCTCCTAAGTTCTTGCACACTCCCAGAGTGGCTTGAGCAGTCCCTGCACGGCCTGCACTGGGCTGCTGCTCCTGCCGATGTGACCCCAAGACCCACCCACCCCCACCCATGTGTCATCCAGGAGGGTAGCTGCCCAGCTGGGAACCCCTGCTCCATTTCCCAGCAAAGCAGGATACAGCCAGCACCGGCACAGGACACTCTGGCCAGCCTCACCCAACTGCCACTCCTTCCATTTATAGTAACAATTGCTTCTCTTTACAGTGCCTGTGTTTTCAGAGTGATGTAATAGGGGAAGGCAATCCGTTCCCAAGGTCAGGACAATGCACACTTGGACAAAAGGCTGTGCTGGGAACCCAGCCCAGCCAGGTTCTCTGGGAACAAACAGGGCCCCTGCACACTCCATATGGTTTCAAACCACAGTACAGGGACAGCAGGATACATGCTGTTCCCATGAGATAGTCCCTCAGCTTGAGAAAACCTAGAAATGGCCTCTCTACAGATAAACTTGGCATCTCTGTCTGCCAAAACCCCCAGGACTTGGAGAATGGGTGGTGGGTGGTGGACAGTGGGTCCCGAGTGGGGATATTTTGGGGGTGCAACTCTAGTCTCCCCTGGAGCCTTTGAGGAGGGTCACTTGAGCCACACTGGAGTGTCACCTTGTGATTGTAGAAGTGCCCATTGATGGAGAACCGGTGCCGCCGGATCAGCTGGGCTTCACCAGGTGCATGGCGCTTGGGTCGCCTCTGGATCATGCAGCTGGCGTCACTCTTGGTCCGCATCAGCTGGGGGACCTCCTCATCCTCCTCTGGGGTCCCTGAAGGGACAAAGGGATGAGCACTTGGCTCCTGGGCCTCCAGCAGTCACCAGTGTGCAGGGACACTCAGGTCACTCCTGCAGAGGGCTGTGCCAAAGCATGATGGAATCCCGGCTTGCAGACATGACAGTGTCACCAGGGCACAGTCCTCAGTTTGTCCCAGCCCAGCAAGTGAGCACCCCTTGGGGACAGGTCCTTCCCTGAGTGCTGAGGGCAGGGACCCAAAGAGGATCGGAGAAGTTCCAGATCCTGGAGTGTGAGGACACGGTCCTGTACCCTGAGCTGGGGCTCCTCCTCTGTGCACGGGGACACAGTGCAGGACACTTGGGCCATGACACATTTCCATTCAGTGAGCAGCTTCCTGGGTGAGGATCCAAGGAGTTACCCAAAGATTAATTCAATGCTCCTAGCTGTTCCGCAGGCTGCTCTCCCACCCCTTACGTCCCGATGTCCCTTTCCTTGCCCCTTTTGGAATAAGACACATCCCAGCAGCCCGGGGGCTCTGCTTACCTGAGCTGTCCCTGGAGCCTGCAGCTTGCTGTATGGCCTGAGCACTCGGTTCCTGGGCATCGACTCTGCAGTCCTGAGGAGGGGCCTCCTTCCTGAAAGGGACCATTGCAGTGTCCAGGTGGCCAGGCACAAACAGGCAACTCCGCCAAAGGAGGGCAGGAAGAGGGTGAGAGCAGGGCAGGTGGAGGTGGGTGAACTTCCAACAGGAAGGGAAAACAAAGGCTTCCTGGCCCTTGCTGGGAGAAGGAGTCTGGCCTGCTGGGCTGTGACTCAGGCACACACACAGCCAGTGCTCTGTCTTGGGGCAGGGCTCAGCAAGGTCGGTGTCAGTGCATCCAAGTGCCTGGGGGATCACAGGGCTTCCCAAGGGCTGGGGGAATCCAGCAGAGGCAAGGACAGACCCTGGGTGGGGCACCCAGTGATGGCAGAGAGAAGAACAGTGTTCTGGATGGGACGTGGTCCAAGAACCGAGATGGTGGGGGGTCCTGGGGATGTGCCCAGCTGTGCCCGGGACTGTTTTCCCACTTCCAGGGCGTCTGCCTTCATGCCCCATGTGTGTGCAGTGAGCAGAGACCTGGCTGTGCTGGAATAGGAGGGACGGAGGGGTCACTGCACATGGTTGGGCTGTGGTCCTCCCGGGGAGTCTGAGGTGCCCAGGGCTGGCAGGCATCACAGAGGCCCTGTCCCACCCTGTCCCAGCACTCACGGGGGGCAGCTGGGCCGTGCCGGCAGCCACAAGGAAGAAGGGAGGTGCGTGGGCTCCCGGTCATCCTGCATCTGGAGGCGGATGGGCCGGCGGAGCCCCCAGGCGATGTTGAGGAGACCCTCGATGATCAGAGCCCCTTCTTCCTGTGGGAACCCTCCAGTTGTTAGCTGCACCCTCCTGTCCATCTCCCTGTGCCCCAAACACACGTGTGATGTGCCCCGGGGCAGGAGGCAGGCTGGGAGGGGGTGCCGAGCCAGGTGTCCCACAGGAACCCGCAGCTGTTCAGAGGCACGTCCACACTGCAGGCAGGAAGTACATCCTGGGGAAGCCTAGCCTGGCTTCTGCCCATACCGTGCCAGGCAGATTTGGAGATTCCCTGTCCCTCTCCTCACTGGCATGGGGCTCTCGTGAGTGTGGTGACCCTGGGATTTCTTCCTCTCTGGGCAAACTTCCCCGTGGATCTCACAGGTAGTAACTTGCTAGTTTCAAACATGCGCCATCCACAGAGGAAATCACCTACTCTGGGGTTATCAACAACACACTGCTCTTTCTGACATGACCTTTCACTATTTGCCAAGAAAGAAACCAAACCAGAAACTCTGGGAGCTGCATTTTTTGTTTTGTTTTGTTTCTTTTGGCCCTGGGGTTTGAACCCAGGGCCTTTAGACTGAGCTATATCCTCAGCCTCTTTCACGTTTTTATTCTGAGAAAGGGTCTTGCTAAATTATCCAGGCTGGACTTAAACTTGTAGTCCTCCTATTTCAGCCTCCCTCCATGCTGTGATTACAGATGTGGACCACTGCTCCCACCTGCAGAGCTACTGTGACTCCCACTGATATTACACAGGGTCCACCAATGAGGAAAGGCTGGCACTGGCCACTGGGCCCAAAGGTCCCTGGAAGGCCCAGGTGAGATCTCCTCCTTTGCTCTGGCCTCAGGGGCCTCTGGCTGGAGGTATCCTGGCCCCACTGAACACATCAGGTGGAGGGCAGCTCATTCCCGGGACTCAGCAACCTTCAGCCCACCCTGGCCTCTGAGCTCGGGGAAACTTGACCGGCCATGAGAGGTTCACCCATGGGCCACAAGGGGTGTCCTGGAGAAGCAGCTGGTGCCCTGGCCTGGATGGGGTCACAGGTGAGGACAGGGTGGGTGGGCAGGGGCTCCTGGAGGCCAGAAGTACCTGGGCAAAGGCTAGCACACTTGGACAGGTGCTCCCTGCTGCTCAAGATGGCACATACCTAGGGAAGGGGTGCCTGTGCACACCAGGATGGGGAAAGGGTGCTGGGGAGCAGGGCATGGGGCTGGACATGCGGAGGCTGTGCCCTGAGAGACCCCAAGGGAAGACCTGGGGTGCAGTGGAGGGCACAGGAGGCTCTGGGCTGGGAGGGTGGAGGGGTTGCCATGGGCAGCCAGAGGGGCAGCTGTTCTGGGTCATGCTCTGTCAGGCTGGATATCCCCACACAAGAAGTTCCTGTGCCCCCACATGCCCTCCTCCGCCTGCCCCACCCACATGGAGGGGCCACGCCAGCCCACAGTGCTCTCTGATCAACTCGGGAAGGCCGAGGCCAGAACAGTGTCTGCCAGGCCACGGATCACAGGACGGAAATGGCAGGTGGGCAGCGGCAGGACTGTCCCCTAGGTCTCCTGACCCAGGTGGCACCACCAGCCCGGAAAGGTTATGAAGTTCGTGAATCAGAAGCCACTCCAGGACTTTAAACCCTCTTCCTCCTCACTTAGCCTCTGGGTTAATTCGCTAATTGGTAAAAATGCAAAGAAGAGCCAGGGAACCCACGCAGGCTGCAGGGAAGCATTGAGCAAGGGGCTCGACAGCTGCAGCCAAAACCCCCCTGTCTGCTTTCAGGCATCCAGGCAGAAGCCTCTCTAGCCCCTAAGCACTTGGGGCACAGCCTTCCGCTACCGGTCGCAGAGCCCAGGGTCCATCCAACCCTCTGATCTCAGGCGTGGGGGCTTCTCCCCTCCATGTCCGCACCTGTGGGCACAGACAAGTGTGGTCTAGCTGTGCTCCAGGCGAACCCCAGGCGAGTCCCAGGTGAGTTCCAAATGAGCTCTGGGCCTGTCTGAGGAGCCCAGGATGCTGGCTCTTTACCCGGAGCCTTCTTAGGCTGGTGAGACACAGAGTGCGGAGCGCCTGGGGCAGGCAGACCCTGACCAGCCCTGCAGGCCAACAACATCCCAGCTCTCCACAGGCAGACACTGCTGCAGGCTGCCTGGCCGCCCCACCCACCAGGCTGTTTTCCTGCGGGCGCCTCCCTCCCCAGCACAGCTATTTTTGGCCCTCGTGACAGTAATTGAAGGCTGCAGGAAAGGTATAAAAGCAGCTGCAGGTCTCCGCTGGACAGCTAGGGAGAAGCCTTCGCCTGCCACGGCTGTGCGCCCTGTGCCTGGACACAGCCTGGCCTTTGCCCCCAGCTCAGGACAGGACTGACCTTGCTGTCACCTCCCTGCCACTCCAGGCCCCTGGGTTTCAGGTAAGACAGAGCTGCTGCCTAGGGCTTGAGGCAAGCACAGGGCCTTGCTGCTCTCTAAAAGCACAACTGGCCAGGGCTCCCAGCCTCACTGTGGTACAGATGCCACCCAGCACCAAGGGCAGCGGTGGAGGTCACAGTGGCGTCTGCCAGGGCCTCGGAGTTTCCCAGAGGCTCATACAAGGTGCCGGTTCATTACTGCCAGGGCATCGTTGTAACCCTGTTTACATATGGGTGGGTAAGCGGAGGCTTGAAGAGGTGCCTCTTCCCAAGTTTCAAGGTCAGTAAGTGGCAGATCTTTTGTTGTTTCTTGGATTTGGGTGTTTGTTTTTTTTTTCAGTACTAGGGATTGAACAAAGAACCTCTGTACTGAGCTACATTCCCAGCCCTTTTTGAGACAGGGTCTTGCTACGTTACCCAGGCTGGGCTCAAACTTGTGATCCTTTTGCCTTAGTTCCCCAGAGTGCTGGGCTGACACGCATGTGCCACTGCTCCCAGCTCTGATCCTGGTTTTGAACCCAGTTTCCTCTGGCCCACATTTGTGTACCTGGGCTCTCTTATGGGTGCCAGATCTTGGCTGCAGTGATGATAAAGCCATAAGCAGGAGGACTGTGCTCTGTTCACAGAAGTGAAGAGCCCAGGCATTCCGGCCCTGGCCTGGGATCTGAGGGAGGGCACATGGGATGGCACGGCAGGCCCTCACCCCTGTGCTCCTTGGCCAATAGGTCACCGCTATGCGGTCTCGACTCCTGCTGTCGGTGGCCCCGCTGCCCACCATCAGGGAGACCTCGGAGGAGATGCTGCCCGCAGACCCAGGGCCGGAGCCCCCAGCTTCTCCCAGCCTGGAGGACTATGTGAAGTCTATCTGCCAACTGGCACAGCCCACCACCGTGCTGGACAAGGCCACCACCCAGGGCCGAGCCAGTCGACCCCACTGGGCGGCCCGGGACAGAGGGAGGAGCCCAGCTTCTTTCCCTCAGGAGATCTCTCCCTTCTTCAGCGGCCCACGGCCCACACTGCCCTCTGCTGGTGCCGCTGATCCGTTGGACTGGCTCTTCGGAGAATCCCAGAAAAAGCAAAGTTTGCCGGACTTGCCCAGGGCGGCAGTCCCTTCCGCCAGGCCGTGGGGCACGCACAGGCAGGCGGACCGCAGCAAGGCCAGGACGCCAGAGCGCTCCCTGGTGACACCATCGCAGCATGGGCACCAGAGCGCCAGCCTGCGGAGCCGGACTTTCTCAGCCTCTCGCTGCAGCCCCCGACCTAGCAGCATCCTGCGCTCTGTCTACTCACAGCTCCCTGTGATTCACGAACTCTGAGCCTCCTAATAAAGGCTTCCACCACAGTCCCACAGTCCCTGTGGTCTCCACCCTTCCCGCGGTGCATGGGTCCCTGCAGGCTCCGAGTGGGGACAATTCTGGCAGGGCTGCCTGGCCACCCAAAGTGAAACCCACATATCTTTCAGGGTGAGAGGCTGCTGCTACCATTGTTTCTGCCTCTGCTGGCTGAGCACCCTGAGCAAGTTAGGGGTCTCTGTTCCTTGTTTTCTCATGGTGGGTGGGGAGACTGAGGGACCCGTCTCCCGCGCCTTGAGGAGTGAGTAAACCCCATGCTCTGAGGGGGCAGGAGCCATCTCAGGCAAGGAGGCTGTGGAGCAGGCCCTGGGCACCCCAACTCTGGCCCACACTCTTAGGGGGCTCACATGGGCTCTCAGCAGAGGCTCCCCTGGTACTCCTGGGGACCCTGATGCCTCCAGCTCGTAAGTCCTACTGTGGTCCTGGAGAGTCCGCAGGTTCAGGGCCAAGGCCCCACCCGAGTAGCCCTAGGATGCCAAATGCTGGGACCTGGTGGTCTGGTCCCCATGCCCAGCGGCCTCACTGAAGGGCCCACACTTGGCTGTGAGTGCAGAGCCCTATCTGAACCAGGCCTGTCCACATGTCCTAAGTCCAGATGTCCCTGGGTACCAGAGGCAACTAGCGAGAAGGGAGCGCACATGGGCAGGAGGACTTCCTTTACTGGCGAGGTGAGGGCCAGGACCCAGAGCCGGCTGGAGTGGCTGGTCCCGGACAGGACAGAGGGCAGCGAGGAGAGGGCGGAGCTGCATCTGCTCCTGTCTCCCCACTCGGCCACACCAAGCTCCTGTCTGTCTTTCTGGGTGTGGTTATTTCAGCTGCCTTGGACTTGAAGGTTCTGTCCTCTTTTGAAAGTCCCAGACACTAAGGAGAAAGCCTCAGCCTTTCTTATCTGCAGGGGACACCAGCATCTGCCCTCACCCCAGGGCTTGGGGAACTGCACAGTGAACGTGGGGTGCTGAACACTTCCACAGATGTGAGCACTGGTCTCAGCTGCTGTGGTCCCCCAGTAGTCTCAGACCGCAGGTCCCTGACCTGCAGCAGCGTCATGGGGAGGGTGGGCCTGGCTGTTGAGCCAACCAAGCAGGAAATCCGGGAGAGGCCTGGCCGCCAGCACCCTGACCCCACGTGTTCTGAAACCACATTGCAGGGGTGGGGGTGGGTAGGGTACCCCAGGCTTGGGGCCCCTCATGTGAAAAAGCTGACCCAGGAGAGTCCTAGGCTCAGGCTAGGAGACCACTCAGCCCATAGGACCCCAAGTACCAGGAACCCCCCACCATCACAGAAATGGTGGGAGGAGCGGGCTGCAGCAGAGTCCAGCTGCTGAGGGCAGAAGAACCCAGCAGAGCTCCGCTCCCCTCCTGCTGAGCCCTCTGTGGCAGCCGGCTGTCACTGTCACCACCTCCACCACGGGCTGCTGGAGTAGGAGAGGCGGGGACACAGGCGGCTCCTAGGGAGCAGATGTTCGAGGGGCTCGCTGCTCACACCAGGCCCAGTGGTTGCCCAGGCTGAAGGAGGGGGACAAGCCGCTCTCCTGCAAGCATGTGCTGCACACTTACAGCCACCAGGGGGAGCACATGAGCGCCTGCAGACACCCAGAGGTGGGCCACCTTCCTGTCCCTGCTCCCACTGCCCTGCTGGTGATGGGTCACACTTGCACTTCCAAACAGACACCAGCCAGCCTTGTAGCAGCCCTCTGCCACCTGCACAAAGCACAGATGCTTTTAGTGGCTCACTTTATTGTAGGACAAGCACAATTGTCCTAAAAGCAGGATTATAGAGAAGGTGGCCAGTGCCTCGGCCTCTCCTACAGGGAAATGGGAAAAGGGTCCCACTTGTCCATGGACACACCTCAACCCCCACACTCTGACAGCACTAGACAGTACAGTGTGGGAGAAGGACCCTTGCAGGCAGACTCTGGGGGGTGCAAACCCAGGGGCACCTCAGCTTGCAGCCAGAGTGACAGTTCAGTTCAGTGATACTCAGCAGAGGCCCCAAGACCTCTGACCCTTAAGACCAACAACAGCATTGCTGGGCTATAAACAACTGTGCTCAGATTTCGGAGCCACATTAACACCAAGGTGACCTTGGATGAAAGACTCCAGCTCCAAGAGTCTGGAAAAGGACTGCTCTGATGTTGCCGAACTCTTGTGTCACAATAACTGAGAGACAAAATGTGGGGTGCACTGCAGCTTCCCAGAGAGATGTTGGCTCCTCCAGTCTGCCCAGCCCTTGGCACCTGTGGGACACCAGTCTAGGATGCTCCTGCAGCATGTGCCTGATGCTGAGGGTGCCAGGGGTGCCAGGGGTCCCAGGGCCCTGGGACGTTCCAGGTCTGCAATGTGTGTGTCAGGGGCCTCAGTGAGGCTGTGAGGAGTGGTGTGCCCCCAGAATCAGTCCTCCCCACCAGCAGCTGCACTCTGACCCCTCAGGCCTGCAGGCTTGCTGTAATGATAGTGTTACCCCAAAAGGGCATGTACTTCCTTGCTTGGAACCCTTGGTCTGTGAGGACTGCAGAAGGCTCCTGAAAGGTACTTTCCAGCTCTGTGGAGATCACGTCAGGCCTCCACCTCCCCTCCAGGGCTAGGAACATGAGAACCCCACCATGGGTAACTCCCTGCACAACAGGCTTCCAGGAATGCCTCTGGGGCATGGAGCACCCACTTCTCCACGTGGATCCTACACATGAGTGCAGAGCCAAACTGGGTGGGGTTCCCAGCCCAGCTCCCCACACCATTCCAAGAGGCGATGATCTGGGGAATCTCTGGTGCCAAGAGCAAGCTCTTGCTCATGGTTCTCAGGCTGGATGCCCTGGGCCTAGGCAGGGAGAGGGAGGAATCCACCCTGGACACCAGGCCATGACACCGAAGCTCCTGGCACAGGGACCACACAGCAGACCGCTAGAGCCTTGGAGGGTCACAGCACCCAGAAACGAAGCCCGACTAGGAGAGATTCTCTGACCATGCCAGGGTCTGCAGGATCTGCAGTGGGCCCCAACTTCTCCCTTGGCAGACGCACAGACCAAAGATTAGAACTCCTTGGCCCCATTCACCATACTCCAGAGGCTCCCTGCTCAGGGAAGACAGGAGCCAGAGGAACCCACGATGGCCAGGAGGTGGGTCAGAGCCCTGTGAGGGGCAGGGCGGTGCTGGGGTGGGTGGCACAAAACAGGCAGTGAGAGGACAGACGAGGAAGCCATCAGAGCTGCCACCAAGGCCCAAGTGCAAGGCAGCTAAGGGGAGGTGGACATGAAATCTGCACCCTCCCAGGTGGGCACAGGCAGCCCAGCCCCCCTGGCCAGAGGTCCTAAGCAGGGAGCCCTGTGGTCAGACTCATGGCACTAGTGCCTGCCTGAGTGTCCTGTCGGGGGATATGGGCTACGAGGAGCTGAGGAGAGGCGGCCCTGATGAGGTCCCTGTGCGCTGCTGTTCCTACAGGTGACAGCAGAGGGGGACCTGGACCTCACTGGCTCCTCAGATGCTAATGGATGGGGAATGTCCAGCTGCCAAGTCACTCCCCAGATAAAATCCCACCACTGGGACAGTCATGCAATTAGACCCAGTTGGGGCACAGAGCTGTGACCAAGGCTGTCCTTCGAAATGTCAGAGATCGGGGGTAGAGAGCAGCACTGTGCTTGGTCAGCCCCAGGGGCTCTAACCTGTGTCCTAGGGGACACTCAGGAGCACAGCAGATACCTAAAGCTCTGCCTCGCCTGGCCACAGTCTGTGTGACCCAAGGGTGTATCAAGATTTGGGAAACCACTCATAAAACTGTAGATACGGTGTCTAGGTTATTTTGAAGTGGGGAAGGCTCTGCTGTACCAGGTCACATTCCTTGGGTAGCCATGGGCAGAATCTAAGGGGTGCCGCTACCTTGTGTTGGGGACCCCCGCACATTCACCCTGCCAAGCCCGGTGACCTGAAGTGGTCCAACACCCCACTTTTACAGATGGGGGTGCCGAGGAGCAGGGGGACAGGTGAGAAGGTCCAGATGCCCAGCTGGGCTAGGTGCAGAGGGACTGGTGTGGCAGGCAGAGGAAGGTAGGGCTCAGGGTCAGGGCTTCCTTCACCCGGACAAGGTCCTGGGGGCCTGGGCAGGTGCACAGATGACCTCTCCCTCCCTAAATTCTCATGGGATGCCGGGCCCCATCCTGCCCTTGGGGAACCAAGTCCTGGCCAGGGATAGCCCAAGGTGACTGACTATGTGGGACTTACTACCCAAACTGGGGCACTTGTGCAGGTCACAGGGATGGACTCCACAACACTCCAAACAGACACGGGTCAGGAGCGGGGGCCTCACCTCTCGGTGTCTCAGCTGGAAGCTCCTGCCCTCATGGTAGCAATTGTATGTCTTCAGCAGGCTCAACAGCTCAGACCTGCAGAGGGAAAGACATGGGATACATGAGACACGAGGGCCAGGCACAGTGCGATCCTCACTGACTACACAGTAGCATGTGTGGTCAGCCCCTCATCTTCCAGAAGGTGTGGGGGTCCCTGGGGTGGCAGGGAGGGGCTGGGAAGGGTGTACGCGCAGGTTGAGTAGTGACGCTGTTGCAGAGGAGTGTCCCTGATGACCTCTGTGTCTTCCTCTCACTTCCTCAGGGGACTCCAGGTTTGGGTTCCTGACATTTCAAGAGTCTTGTTTCCCTGAATGAACTGTAAAGTCCCCATGTGGCTGCTGTGGGCACCAGGAAGGGTGCTGGTCTCATCCTGCCTGGACTTTCCAGGGTCCAGCTGAGGTGTGAGGACATCAGGCTGAGGGAGGAACCTGAATGCTTCGGGGCTGTGCTGCTTCTCCACGGATTTTCCCAGTATGACGGGAACCCAGTATGAGAGCAGAGATGCAGCAAAGGTCAATCTCAGGTTTCCCAGCAGCCAGGTTAGCCAGGGACACACAGCAGGTGGAGTTAGAACTGACAGCACCCCACTGACCAGAATTCCAGTTATCACCACTAGCAGGCGCTCAGGATAACATAATAAGAGCTGGTGCATTTATTCTACACGAAGCCTTTGCCACCTGAGCATCCTTTCTAAGAGCCTGCAGTAATGTGCGGCTTGTGGCTGCCCTGCTGGCACCAGACCCTGCTGCACCTCCTAGGGCAGTGTTTCCAACTCCTGAAAGCAGCTCACAGAGCGACAGTGACCTGCCCTGGGCTGGGGGGTGTGGCCTGCATGTGACAAGGGAACCAGGGCTGGGAAAGTGAGGTACAACTTGTAGGCATCCACCAATCAACTTGGACACAAAGTTTTAGGAAGTGGGTTTCATGTGGCATTGACCATGCCGTGGTTATTATGGTTTTTCAGGATAATACTCAATGTTGTTCCACTGTTCTGAGTGGAATTAAACACAAAGAGAGAGGCTTAATGTGAGTAGCAATGGAACAGGGTGGGGTGGGAGGAGGCCTGCTTTCTTGGGGTGCTTCTTGGGGGATTGGAAAGCCCACGGCAAATGCTTGCCATTCCAAGAGTGCTCTTTGGTCTTGGAGAGAGAAGGCAGGAACTGTCCATGCTTAGAAAATATTTGAACGCAGAACTCAAATTCTAAGACAAAATGAAAAAAATACCTTTCTTTGTTCAAAAATGAATGTGAAAAATGTCCCAAACATGTTTCCATACAGTAAATAAAATAAGTACTGTTAAAAATACGTTCACAAAATGCATTTCTTCACTGAAAACTGACAACTAGTTTTGAGTTTATTTTGTAACTATTTAATACAACCAGAGCAATGGTATCATTCAAATAAATTAAATGAATTTAAATAAACACCATCACTTCAGAGCCAGCAGGCACCTTTCTGCCATCCTGTTTCCAAGAGCCCAAGGACCCGCGCATAGCCCACCCATACCCAAAGGGTGCCTCGATCTCCAGACAGGTCCCAGGCATGCATGGCTACAGGGGGAAAGGCTGCCCCGGGACACACACACACACACACACACACACCCGCCCATGCCAAGGCTTACTTCAGAATGGACTTGCTGTCGCTGACAGGCACGAGGGAGTTGGAGGGAGAGTCTTCCTTCATCTTCTTTCACTGCAGGCCCAGAGGTTATCTGCAGGGAAGACACAGAGGGAACAGGCAGGTGAGCTAGGTGGGGCCCGGCCAGGCAAGGCCCAGCACACTCAGCCCTGGCAAAGAGGTTGTTCACCATGGCCTTGCACCTGGCCGGGTGAGGGTGGAGCTGAGGAAACAGGCCCAGAGGTCCCCACTCTGAGTCCCTCCACAATCCTGAGGCATCTGGCTATAGGCCACGTGCTTTCTGCCCCTGTGGCGGATGCCCTAGGGATGCCTTCTAACCCTCCCCCCTCGTCCTGCAAGGCCACCCTCTTGTGTTCCCCCTTCCTGCGGAGTCACTATCACTATGTCACTGTGTGCACTGGCTCCCTGGGCCCAGGTGGGCTAACCAGACCTGCACAGTGCTCCCTACATGCTGGGACTGGTGTGGGCTTCCTGTGAATCCTCATGTCCAGCCCTCACCATGTCATCACAGGCAAGGATCCTGTGCCCCCAATTTATAGCTGAGAAGGCAGAGGTGGGGCACGTTGCCCAAGGTCTCCCAGCAGGAGACCAGCAGAGGCACTATCCCCCAGGCTTCTCCCCTGCTCCTGGACAGGGGCTTAGGCCCCTGCCTTCTTCCCTCTGGACAGCGGGCTCATCCAGCCCAGGACCTCATAGACCCCATGTGCAGCTGGCCACGACGTCTTTCTCTCACACCACGGAGGGTGAGGCTTCCTGAGGAGGGGACTCAGAAACCTTTCTCCACCTGGCTGGCCTCTCCTGCTGGTTCTTCCTGACTCTCCACATCACAGCATCTCCCACAGGCAGGGGATGCAGTCCACAGCCTCCAGGGCACCTGCAAGCCCCCATGGCACTGAGCCAAGAGTCAATGCCCTTCCCACCTTCGTAAGGGCTGGCACAGACTGAGGTCAGGATGTAGGTCATTTTAGTGCAACAAAAATACATGCACACATTTCTAGTGTGTGTGCTGCACACATTTCTGTTCCCTGCTTTACAGTTCATAAATAGATGTGCTCTTATGGCAGGTCCTAGTTATACAGCACATTAAGCGTTTCTCATTTCTTAGTAAGTCAAGAACCTTCCACTGAACTGCAGTATCACCACTCCTGTACTACACGGCCACAGTGAAGTAAATAAGGGCGACTCCACAACCCATCTAGCAGTTGATCTGACAACTGAGTGGGCAGCTAACTGACAGGGTGGCTGGAGGTGGACACAGGAGGCCACTTGGGGCAGGAAATTCTTGAGTTGGGTGGGAAGGAGTTGGACAACGAGGTTTCATGGTGTTACTTGGGAGGCCATGCCGTTTACAATTTAGGAATTGTTTATTTCTAGAATTCCCCTTTTAATATTTTTAGATTGAGATTGACATGGATAAGAGACCACAGCAAACAAACTCATATGTAAGGAGGACCACGGTATTCTGGCTGGGAACCCTCTCTTATCAAGGTTTCCAGCATGCTGGGAGCCAGGTAAGTCCCCCCACATCCTCATGCTAATCTGCCTCTATCTCCCTCCTCCCGACGAGAGGCCTGAAGGTAGTGACATCGGAAGGTGACACAGCCAGGGTGGCCCCTGTGACCTTCCAGCCACAGAAGTCAGCTCACTCGCAGACCCTGACACCCACTCACAGGAGTGCAGCCCCACGGGTCCTCCCATCTGGGGACTCACTGAATTCATCAGTGCCCTCAGGGCCCATTGGGTGCAGCACTCCGACGCTCGGCCTGACCAGAGCTGTCCAGCGTGCTCTCCCTCCTGGCTGACAGCATGCAGGCAATCAGCCTGCCCCCTGCACAGGGCGAGTATCTGATCACACAGGCAGAGGAATAGTGGTGGGAAGACAGAGAGATGCTTCCTGGGGACCACAGGACCATCGGTTGTCAGCCCTGCCCTGGTCTAGAGGATGCAGCCCACAGTCTAGAGAGAGGTTTGGCCCCTACAGGGGACTCAGCCTGCACAGCACACAGAGTGGGGCGCCAGGGCCAGGGCCGGGGACCTCCCACTGCCTTCTTCCCGCCAGGCAGATGGGATTTCACACCCGAGTTTCGGTTCCTCCACCCTCAGCTGGCTTCTGAAGCTGATGTGCTGCCCCAGTGACGGGGAAGTTCCTCAAACACAGCAGGCAGAGGCTGCCCCCGCCTGGGTCTTGGGTGGACACCACCTCTGGGGCCCACAGCACAACTGTGTCTTGCTGTAAGCAGGCTCGCAGGGCAGAAGCGATGGGCTGGATTCACTCTCTTCCTTCCCATGTCCACTAGGCTGAGCGGCACTGTCCCCTCCTGTATACCCCCAGGACAGGAGTAGCCCCCAACTGAATCTCTCTGCCCTGCCACCTCCTCCTGACTCCCAGCCTCATGGTCCACCGCTTGGACACCGCAGAAGCTCAGAAGCATGGAAGAGGGTGACAAGGCCTTTCTGTTTCACTGCTGTTCCCAGTACCATGCACAGCCTGGCACATCCCAGGAGGCCCATAAGTATTTGTTGAATGACTGTGTGAGTACAAGAGTTATGGGCTTCCCAATCTTATCTTCCAGAGTTGCACATATATAGCAGGATCATAAAATACATGTATCCAGGGGTTAGGAGGTGATGTGATTAAAGGACATGGGTCACAGAGCCACGAGAGCTGGGAGACTCATCCCGAACCTGTTTCACAAAGGGAGCAGGAATCTGGGTTTTCATGGGCTACATCCACTGCCTGAGATGGTCACTGTGCCTTGAGCGACTACGTGACTGCCAGCTGTTCCTACCCTCTGCAGCCAGGTGGGCCTGTGAGACCAATCCTGAGCCATGGACTGTACACCGAAGTGTCCCAGGCCAGCTGTGTCCCTGAGTGAGTTTAGATCAAAGCCCTGCAGCCACCCACACTGGATGCGCACCAGGGAAGAGACCTGGCCTCTGCTGTGACAACCCACTAGCGTCCTAGGGATTTGTTACTGCAGCAAAACGCAGCCCAGCCTGACTAGCGCAGTTAAGACAATGTGCACATTAATTTCATATTATATATTTCAATGTGCTTCAAAATACGACACAGCCAGACCAAACTCACTTGCAAGACAGATGCACTTGTGGTAGCAGGGCTCTAGTTTGTGCCTTCTGGTTCGTGTCACAACTCAGTTTATAATCCTGGCCTTCTCGCACGGCACATGGGGAACACATGCCTGTTGCTGTGTGGAGCAGGAATTCCTTGCAAGCCAGGCAGCAGCTTCTTGTTAATAACAGGCACTTCCCCAAGCGCTCTAGGCTGGGAGCCGCTGGCTGGTGTGGTTCCAGCTGCAAGCCTTCTCTTCTGAGCCTTAACCTTCCCATATGTGACAGCATTAACCCGATGGGTCTGACACCTTCCCAGCCACAGAAGTGCTCGTTCAAATGCAGACTTTGCAATTCAGGTTAAAGGGGACACTCTAGTTGACAGCAGGAGGGTGTTGGAGCCTCATCCCCGGAGCACCAGGCGATTCTGTGGGCCAAGCCCTGTCCTCCCTGGCTGGCCTCCAGCTCCTTCTCCCAAGGACGTGGCCAGTGTGTCTCCAGCTGCAGGGGGCAGCAGTGGCCACTCAGAGGAGTCAAAAGAACAGCAAAGGACCAAAGGACAGCTCTGGATTGCAGCTGGCAGAGTGAGGGGAGAAGGGTGAAGGGGCACAGAGAGCAGACAGCCAGGCTGTGGAGGAACAGAGTCTGGGTTGCCATCCCAGGGGAGGACAGGAAAGCAGGAAGCAAGGCCGGAAGTGACAAAGGCTTCTTCTTTCAGCTTGCTGGGCTGCCTGAGCCTCCTGGGGTGGGAGCACTGGCCCAGAGGACAACAGCTCCCATTTATTTCTGTGTCCTCTGACCTCAGCTGCACGGCACCATGGGGGTCACTGGTCTGTCTGGCTCTTGCTAGCCTCCACCCTTGGTGGGCAACATGCATCCAGTCCCTGAGCTCAGGACCACATGCAGATACCCCCTCCAAAGGGAACTCTGTCTTCATAACTGCTGTACCACACTGAGGGGAGTGGTACACACACACATACACACACACTTGCGCACACGAAAGGAGGGCCACACCTCTGTTTTTGTTAGGAGCGCTTTCCTGTAGCTGTCTATGGAGCACAGGATCTCCCTGTGCACTGAGCAGGGCCGCAGCTCAATCTTATCTGGAAATTAAAGCCTTGGCAGAGCCCAGGGCACAGGTGGATGGAAGCGAGGATGCCAGGGTGGAGCAGGAGTTGGGAGGGGACAGGCAGGGCTGGCTTGTCACCCCAGCACACAGCAGGATCACCACGATGCAGAGTGGACAGGCCCCTGGCCAGCTCCGGCCCCCACACGCAGCCGGCAGCTCAGCCTCCAGGGCTTTCCAGATGAGGACGAACCACGCCCCAGGGAGGCCCTAGGCAGTGCGCTCGCCATAGCCACAGTCCCTAGTGAACAAGCAGTGGGTTGTTTTCACTTTCCACTTCAGTGGCTGCTCTGCCAGCCGTGCGGAGACAGACTGCTGCTATGCAGGGACAAAGGCCATGGAGGCTGGGCGCAGCCATCAGGCGGGCCTCTCTCCTTTGTTGTGGTCTTAGAGCTGGGGATCACAGGAGGAAGTGGCTGTGATTCCTCAGGACACCACAGGCCCAGTTTCTATGGCCCAATTGGAAAGGGAAGAAAGGAGCCCAAGGAAAGGGGCTTCCACGAAGCTAGGCTGAGTGCACTGTCAGGCCTGCAGGTCTAGCACCCCTTCTTAGGCATGGTGGGGTACACGGGCTAGGGGTGCCCCCACCCGACACATGGAGAATGGACTGGCATACAACTGGCATGTTCTAGGCTGGTCAGTGAAACCTGAGAGCTTGGTGAGTGCTCTGACATTTCCTGGCACCCGATTCCTGCTTTCTCACTTAGACATGGTTTAAATCAAGTGGGTAATACAGGAAGCGACTGAGAGACACAGAAAGGAGGACAGAAGGCAGATTCAGCTGGGAACCTGTGGCAGTGCTGCTGGATGCAGGGGAGGGATACTGCCTGGGTCCCTGAGGAGCTCGACCTCCCTGTGCGCCACCCAGGGCAGAGCCAGGTGCAGGGGACAAGGAGCCTTTGAAGGGTCTCCCAGCACCTGTTACCAGCAAGTGGCAGGACCTCAGCAGAAAGAAGCTAGCTGCTTGAAGAGGGGCCTGTGGACACGGGCTCCCCTCAGCCATGCATTTTTGGAGAGAAAGCCAGCTGTTGGGGTGTGGACAGCTGCAGCAAGTCAGCAGCTGCGGTCTCTGCCGCTGTTCCATCCCAGTGTCCAGTCCCCCACCTCTCCCATCTCTTCTGCCCCAGCATGTCCTGCAGCTGGGAAGCCTGGAGGACTTTATGCTGGGTCTGGTGGGCCCTGGAGGCCCAGGCAGTGCAGGAGGCAGACTGGGCTGAGCACACTATGCAGGTGCCTCCACTGTGTCCTCACGTCCTCTGCAGTCCTGAGCTACCCTGAGCCCACTCTGGTTCTTAGGCCCCTTAGCACAGTCTGAAGAGCCTGATCCTCATCCGCACCTGGACCACAGACTAGCCATCCTTGAGGCCCCACCCTGGGGGCAGCACCTCTCCCATGCCCCCTGGGCTGGGTTTTTGCCCTTGCTCTTAGGCCCAGCAACTTGGGGCAAGAGAGCCATTCCTGTTCCTCCTGCTCCCCTGACACTTGACGCCCATACTTCCTGGCCTGTGCCACCACCCCAGACTAGGGTCACCTCCTGTCTGTGAAACAGGGGGTCCTGGAAATGAGGATCTGCTTAACTATGATTTGGAGGAGGGGCATACATTTCCTCAGGATGGCCAAGGTGAGATCTCGATTGCTCGAGCCAGAGGTGCAGTGCAGAGGGACAGACATGCCAAGCTCTGGATACCAGCTGCTGCCCACAGCTGCCCACCTGGGCTACCTCTGCCTATGCCACGTGCACCGGGGGATTCTGGTTCTCAGGGCTGAGGATTCTGGTCCACAGGGTCTTTGGGTGATGGAGTGATCTGGAGTCTCTTGAGAACTTAATACATTCTTGTCAAAAAGCTGGGCATGTGTGAGTGTGTACACACTCATGCACATGTGCACACACACACACACCTACTCTGCATGCTGCTGTAGCAGGGTCACAGAGTCCTTAGATTTCAGGCTAGAAACCTGTTGACAGTGTCACAGCATAAAACATGGGTACGGGTGTGATGGGCTTGCCCTCAGCTGTGGGTCTCTCCAGACTCACAGTAGCAGCGGGTCTAGTGTCCTCAGGGCTCTACTCTGCAGCATGGAGCAGGTGAAGCTTCTGTCCACCAGGACAGGAGACCCAGAGAACTGTCAGTTCCCTTAACCAGAGGAGAAACCACAGAGCCTGGGGCCAGGCAGCCCTTCCTACTTGATTGTGAGTTACTGTACAACAGTTTCAAAATACTTTCTACAGAGTGCTTTGAAAGACCACTGGCTCTGGGCACAAAGCCCTGCTCTGGGATCTCATGGCTGTGTGGCCCTAGGCAAATTTCCTTTCCCACTCTGGACCTTGGGTTCCTCGCAGGCAAAATAATGGCAATCCTCAGTTGATTACTGTAGGGAGACCTGTGGGACAGGTCCTTTGTAGGTTGTTATAACACACAGAAGCTCCCATCAAGGTTCCTGTTAACACTGGGAGCCCGGGGCCTGGGGGACCGGGAGGCTCAGAGATGGGTGAGTAGGACCCAAAGAGGACAGAAGCTCTCCCTGGAAAAAGCAACTCTGAGAAAAATACTCTAGGTTTACACCAAACCAGCACCCAAGTCCTGGGATCACAGCCCAGAGCTCTCAGTCACCCCTAGCTCCCAGCTGGGCATTTAGAATTGGAACATGCTACTTACGCCCAGCTTCTGTGCCTGTTCCTCTGTCAGGGTCCAGGTGGCTCTGACCCAGGGGACATAGGACTTTAATGCTCTTCTCCAGCTCCAGGCTACCCCAGAGCCTCCTGGTGTTTCAGACAGACAATCTTATCTGTGCACCGAGCTCACTCTCAATGCCATCACCAGCACCACAGCACCACCAGCACCACACAGAAGGGTGTGTGGAGGGGAGGAAGCAGACAGAACACACGGCGGACTGTGCTGAGACACAGCCCAGCACCATCCTCCAACCCTGCCCCAGCCTCCCTGCAGGGATTTACCTTCCTCCCCTTCCTCTCTCCGCAACTTCCTCCCAGCACCTCATCTTCAGCTCCTCCAGCCACAGCCCAGGAGCACAGGAAGGGAGGCAGGCAGGTCTGCCCTCACCCTGAGTCCCACAGCTCACTTACAGGCTTGTGTTGGTTTCTTTGTTTTCTTGGCTTTTGGCACAGATCCTGAGGCACCCCAGTGCTGTGGACAGTACAAAGAAGGAGTGCCGCCAAGGCCCTGAGGACTCTGGAGTCTCTAACTGGCTTGGGTATGAATTGCACAGCCCAGACCCCAGAGGAGCGGAAGATTGACCCTGGGCCAGGAGGAAGGGCACAGACAGAGGCCAGGCCCCTGAGTTCCAACTGTGGCCCTACCTGTGCCCTCCTGGCTCAGAGTAGACAAACCCACACTTTGCAAACCTCAGCTTTTCATCTGAAAGTGGGGGTAAGGAAAGTACCAGGGTGGGAGTCATGAGGAGGTGCCCTGAGCCCCGGGCTTGGCACAGGGCACCCCTCCCAAAACAGCGCCTTTGAGATGAGCAGCCGTTCCTGGTCTTACGGCTTCCCTGCACCTGTGAGACTGGGCTGTGCGACAGCGCCCGCGCTCTCTTCCCCGCCCGGGACCAACGCTTCCAGGAAACTGGCTTTGGGGTAGACGGGGCACAGGTGCACCCTGAGACCGTGCGCACCCGTCCCGCTGAGACTTGGTCCCAAAGTGTCCTCCCGTGGAGGAGGCGCCTGGCGCAGTGCTCAATACTCAGCACCTGCCGGGCCGCTTTGCGCCACCTGGCAGGAGAAGAGCCTCCACACCGCTTCTGCGAGCACCAGTGTGCCGGGCGCTGCGTCCTGCTCGGAGCAGGGACCTGGGGTCCTGCGCGGAGGGTCCCAGGGACCCACACTCACACTGCGCGGAATCACTCACCGTGCAGGCATCACGCCCTCCGCAGGTCTCTCTGCCTGCCGCGCTCGCGCTCAGCAGAGCCTCCAGTAGCTGATCCCGGCCGCCTCCGCCACTCCGGATCTGGCCCGCCCCTCGCTCACGGCAGCCAATGGCACAGCCTGCCATCGCCAGTAAGGGGCACGCCCCTTACTCTGTACCAATCAATCGTACCGTCGCCACCCGCCCAGCGCTGGGCACACCCCAGCCCCGCACCGAAAGCCCCGCCCCGCCACCCCGCCGGGGCACACCCCTCGACTCTCACTGGCCAATGGCACCGCCCGTCGTCATCCGCCCGCCACACCCGAGAGCACGCCCTGAGAGCGCAGGTGGCAGGGGCTCCAGTTGCTGCCAGCCTTTGGGGACCCGGTGGTCAGGACCCAGCCTGGTCTGGGCGCGCGAACAGGGGCGGGGACAGTTACTGAGGCTTTGTTTCATCTTTTCCTCTCGGCACTCGTGTCCTGAACAGGACCTCTGTCCGCACCCAACACAAGTCGTTTTTGTTTCCTGATCTCTGTGGGCCTCGCGGCCTCCTCAGTTGGAAAGGAGACAGCTGGGCTCTACGTCCCCCCATGCGGCCTCTAGTGTCCAACCCGCTGGGCCTGACTCCTCCTGCAGCAGCGGGGGAGGGCAGGCTCGGGAAGGACCTGCCTGGCATATCTGCCTTGCTCTGTTCTGCCAGCTGGGCTGGGGACTCCACGGCTGGGGACTTCCGTGAGGATGTACTTGTCCTGTGGCAGTTCACAGGTCAGACCTCATAGAAAGCGAGGCCAATACTTGGTTGATTCTAAAGGTTTTCAAAAACAGTGGGTAAAATTCAACAGAGCTCTTCATTCTAAGCATTGGATGCTAAGAATCCACTCATTTAGGCTCAGGAGAGGTGCAGATGGCACAGGTGGTGCACACTTTCCCTGGGCTCTGGCAGGGCACAGGGCGGGACTCGCTGGTGGGTCACTGCTGTGCCCTAAGCTGCAGGCAGGAGTGGGTGTCCAGCGTCACTGTTCTGTCCTGTATCAGACACTGCAGTGCTTCAATCAGGGACTGCCATGCCTCACAGGTCCCCGGCTCCATCAGAAGGAGCCGCCTTGCCCTGAGACTTCCACAGAACTGCCTTGACCTCCCTCCTGAGGGTGGGTGCTGGCCACTGCCAACTCCAGGTCCACTCCGTTCTTGGAAGAAAAGAAAGAGAAGGAGGGAGGAAGGGAGAGATGGAGGGAGGGGTAGTGAAAGAGACAGAAAGAAAGTGATTTGCATGGGGATGTGTCACAGTGCCTGGGTTTTCCTTGCAGTCCAATCAAAGGTCACCAGATTAATTTAGGGGACGATGTGACAGTACTTGCAAAGATGACAAGACACCAGTGTTCAGTGCACAGTGAGAGCTGTGCTAATGACTTCTGCCCGTGCCATCCCCGCTTATTAGGCTGTGGTAGGAATGTGGTTCTCACTGTGGTCCACAGTTGACAGTGAAAACAGATAGAGCCTGTGTTGACAATCCCTGTCACAGCTTTTCTAGCTTCCTTTCAAGCACAACTGGCCCTGACACCCACTTCTAGGTAAAAAGACAGGGGGAAGTAGTCTGGGAAGGGGGATTTGAAGGACAATGAAGACAGTGTGTGCTTTCCTGGTAGAATGAACAAAAGTCTTCCCAACCTTTCTGCCTCCAGAGTGGATACTGTATAATGTCTGGAGCACTGGCAGCCTTGTTGGAATCGTGGCACAATAGGTCCATTTGCAGATGCTAAGGATGAAAGGGGTCTGGGTCTTTATTGGCATCCTAGGATCTTTGCACTATGCCTTCCATATGACTGGTTGATTATGAAAACAAGAGACAACAATGATACATGGGCTGCTGTGTGCCAACCCCTTCCCCAGTTGATCCTGCTCCTATGGCCTCATTGACCTCATCTCCTCCCATGGCCTCCTCTTGCTGGTACTGTTCCCCCCACACACCAGGCTCCTGCCTCATTGTGCCCTTCCCACTGTACTGAGCCTCTGCCTGATGGCCCCTGCCCCAGAACCTGCTGCACTTGCCCAGGACCTCCTCCAGGGTGACTCCAGGTCACTGTCTCTTTAGGGTCCTCCTGGCCTACCCATCCATCCCTGGTCACACTGACCTCCTTGGCCTGCCCTGCACTTTCCTTCCTCACCCCAAGCTCCTTGAGGTGGAATCTGCATCCTTAGGCCCTGACTGCCTGACCACCATTGCATTTCATTTGACTCATGATTGATTCTGTTCTTTCAGACACATTCAGGGAAGCCCTGTATGGTGGGTGGATTCTGTTTGTGCCACCAGGGACTGGGGCAGATGGCATCTCTTCTAATGGAAGCTGGGGTCTCAGGAAGTGCAGGTCACACAGACACCTCTACTGGACTCCTGCCTAGGGCACCCCAGGGACAGAGGCCTTCTAGGGTCCATTAGGAAGAGGGCACTGTGTCCGTCTCTGGCCTCTCATTCTTTATAGCATCCCAGCATCAGAAAATGTAATTGTGCCATGAGTAGTCCTGGTGGACTTCTCAGATCCATAAAAAGCCAAATGGAAACATACCTGGATGTTTTATTAATGAGTCACACAGAACAAATTTATGTTCAATTTGCAAGGGAAAATTTTAGGGAGCATCAGGGTCTTGTGCGACTCTGTGGGATCTGCCTGGTGAGGCCTGCAGAAGGCTTTTCCCTCCGGGTTGGCTGGGGGTGACTTGGCACTGGGCGTTGCTCCAGGGAAGTTGGAAATTCTGCCCCTCCCTCCCTCTGTGTCACCAGGGCTGCCACAGCAAGCAATGTGACTCCAGGGATGATCAGAAGTTGGCAACATGTAATTTTGGTTTCTGAGTTTTGAAGTGTGCACTTTTGTATTTTTGTGCAAAGGACATTGATAATGACAGCCACTTCCAAGGCCATTGCTTGGAAACAGTACAAAGGACTTTGAATTAAGTTACTGATCACTTTCCTCAGGCCTTTTATGGGTGGCTTTCTTGGCTTCTTTCCTTCACCATCTCCAGCCTCAGATTCAAAATAAAGAATTTTTTAAAGCAGTTTTTCAAAAAATTTAATGCACACTCTTTACAAAGCAATTAGCTGATTGCACTTGGTGGTAAGAAGATTCTACTCACAGAGCTGCTTGAGTGGTGTTAGCTTTTGGGTCCCAGACATGTTGAGGCTCCTGCTGGCTGCTCCCAGCAACACAGATGTGGCTTCATGAGGATTTGCCTGGAACTCCCAGGTAACTTCCCGGAAAATCTGCACACCACCAACACTTCCTCCCTGGGTGAGGTGGTTTTTGCTCACTCCACTGTTAGCACATATATAATGACTTCAGGTTCCTTGGAACAGTCCACCTAGGCCAGAGGCAGGCTGGAAATGATAATAATTCTCCAAATGGACATGAGTTTCAACATCTTCCCAGGAAACCTCCCTGCACAAGATTTGTTGAAGGTAGAAAACTTGCTTTAAAAGGTAATATAGCTAAAAAGCCCTACTGTAACTTCCTTTGAGGGAAGAAATAAGTGCTGGGCACAAGCCCTTTCTCCTCTCAGTCTCTGAGAAAAGGGTACAACTGACAAGCCCACATCAGCTTCAGAAACATGTGTGAGGACCAGGGCAGCTGAGAAGCCATGGATGGTGAGCTCCGGCAGCCTGCCGTGTAGCCTGCTGACATGTCTCTCCTCTCACCTCCTCCTCTCCTCCTGACACTGGTACAGTTTGGAAGGCTGGCAAAGGAGCAGTGCCTCTCTGTCTTAGGTCTCCCCTGCTTTGCTAAGCACTCTTGGACCTGCATCACCTTCCCTCATGCCCATACTCCATCCCTCCTTCTACCCCACATCCAACTTGGGCTGTGTTCTGGGGGTGCAGGCAATGTAGGGCTGCTAGAAAGCTGATTAACAGAAGTGTAATTGCATGAGTAGATTACATTATAAAAATAATATGGCAGTGCAAGACTCCTTGACAACTGCCTTCCAATATAACTATAATTTCAGTAACATGAGAAAGTGTCTTTATATTGGTCAGGGTTTTCATGCATTTAACAAATAACAAGACTGTTTGTAGAACTTGGGAGCTGCGTGTGGAACACACATTGTGGGAAAACTTACAGAAGAACACTGCTTCTCACAGGAGGACAGCCCCAGAAAGGCTGCTGCTGCCTGGGGCCAGGATTAGATGAATAGGGAGCTGTCAATGAGGAAGCCATCAGACCTTCCCTCCAGCCAGAGGAAGTAGAGACCCTCAGATTGAGAAGAAAGGGTCCAGAGTGCTTACATGAACAAGGGCTGTCTGTCCTGCAGCCTCTGGACTCGTCTTTCAAAGCCGACCATCCACAGGGAGCTCTGGGAAACCCAGCCAGAGAAAGAATGCAATGTGTTTCCCATGTCCTGTGCTATCTCTTCTTCCAAGTATGTGGCTTCCCAGGAATGCAGAGCATTCCCATGGGGAGGGCAGGCTGGGCCCCAGCCAGAGTCCTGACCTGTGGGCCCTGGGTTAAGAGATGTCCAGTCAGTGAGTCGACCTCACCCTGCCATCAAAGCTACTTCTGTGCAGCCCCACTTGGTGGGGGCTGCTCACCCCCAAGTCTCCTCCCCTGTCTGCTAAGTATGACCTCAGGACCTGTGTGTTTAAGGATGAATGGAGCCACAGAGTTGTGACATTACTTAAGTTTTGTCTCCACTTGGGAGTTTTCTCTGACTTTTCAGCTAGAAAATTGTGTCCAGAGAACAAAAATCATTCTGCAGCACAGCATGATAAAAGAGGAATGACCAGCTTACTAGTCAGGACTTTGCAGAGAACTGGGACTAGTAGGATATATATACACAGCTGGCTCTCTGTACGCATGGTCCCCAACCACAGGTTCCACCAGTTGTGGATAGAAAACAGTTGGAGAAGAAATTGTGCCTGTAATAGACCTGTAGACTGGTTGTTATTCTCAGAACAACACAGTACAAAGGTCATTTGAGCAGTACTGACACTGTACAAGGCATTATAAGCCATCTAGGGATGATTTAAAGTATGCAGGAGGGTGTGCAAAAGTTCTGTGTAAAGGCAACACTATCTTACATGGGGACTTCAGCACCCTGAGATTTGTTAGCCAAGAGTGAATGTG